GAAAGGAACTAGTAGCTATCATAAGGTGAAATGTCCATGTTGCATTATGCGTGATAGTTGGCAGGGAAACTGCTGACTATCATAACCTTCCCTCCCCCCCCCAATAAAACCAGCCTAACAGGAGCAGTATTGATAGAGGTCCAAGCAGAAACACGTTGATGCTCATCTCACTAACCAATCTTTTTTGCAGGGCCTTTACCCGGAATCCCATGGTCTAGTGGATAACAAAATGTATGAACCAAAGAGAAATGCTTACTTTACGTTAAAAAATGCAGAGAAATTTAACCCACTATGGTATCAGGGACAACCGGTAAGTGCTGTTGTTAAGCATACTTCCATGAGATGTGCTAGTAGTGATCAAGAGAAGTGAGATGTTAAACTTCTGTGTTTTTTAAAAAAGTTAAATCTATTCTAGATTATATGTATCTGTATGACTTTACTGTTAGTATATTCATACAGTGCCATAATATTACTGTTCAGGTTGCAAGAGAATCAGTCTTTGCTTCAGTTTTTCTTAAGGGAAACAACAGAGGAAGGTGAAGGAAGCACAGGCAAGAATAAAAAAGAAAGCAATATGCAGTGTTTTCAGCTCCACATGTTTAGGTTTGATGGTAGTAAATCTGTAGAGGTGAGCAATAGGCTTTACATAAAAGGTGGCTCATAAGTAGAGATGGTCATGAACTGGAAAACTGATGGTTCATGGTGGTTTGTATTTCATGTGTAGGCAAGGTGTTGTGAGAGGACAGGAGATTCTAAGAGAGGTGTAAAGAACTATAGTTAACAGAAAGAGAAGTATCATGATACAAGATTGGAGAACTGCATGGGAATGTAGGACCAAAGCCTAGAAAGATAAGGGCAATGTCTTTTAGCCTTGGGTAGACTTGCAGTGAATTAAAGGGCAAATGGCAACACAGCAGGTGAATGATTTTGGCAGCAGAGTTCTTGAAAGATATAGAAATGTGAAGTTAAGATAATAGAATACCAGACTGGAGAAAATTGCAACAGTCTAGGTGAGGTGGGGGCCGGGGGCATTAACTAGAGTTATCGTGTTTTTTGCTGAATAAAAACAATGACAGGGCTGCATTTATGCAGTATTATATATGGGAAGGGAATATGTGAAGGACTAAATATGAGAAGTAAAGGGGAAAGAACAGTTGAAAATAATGCTAAAGCAATGTGCTTATTCAAAGGAGAGGTTAGCAACAAATAAGGATATATGAGTTTGGGGGAGCAGGAGAAGCAGCTAAAATTAGATTAAGAAAGAAGTGAAGAAAGTCAAGCAGGAGCAAGTTTTTAATTGTATCAGATGGCACAAAGAGGTGAAGGCATAGTCAGGTCTTGAAGCAGCTAAAATTACCCCATGAAATGTTGGGGCTGGTCTTCCATGAGCCACAAGTTCGAATAAAGACCATATCATTTTGCAGTGAGGAAGTTATCTGTGATTTTTGTGAGAGTAGTTTAAGTGGAGTATAGGGAGTAAAGGGAGTAAAAAACAAATTGGGCCTTGACTGGAGAGGTAGTGGAAGGAATTTGAGGCAAGAGTTGTAAGAAGTCTGCTCCAGGAGTATGGAATGGAGGATTAGAAGTGAGGCAAAGTAATCGTTGGATGAACAGGAGGGAAGGCATTGTTTTTCAAAGAGAGCAGAGATACTAGTGTGCCTAAACACAGATGGGAAGGATCCATATGAAGGGAAAGTGAGATAATGGCAGGGAGATCCCAGCTTAGAGGAAGGGTTCCTGAAGAGTGTATTCAAGATTAGACTAGTACAATATAGGACTCAGCTTGTCAACCATTAAAAGCATCATTGAAGATAGAATGTGTGAGGTAAGGATGAAGTTGGTGTACACTGCATGTCAAGATTGTGAGGAAGGCATGCCAGGAGTTGGTGCCAGGGATAAACTGAAGGTGTTCGTGTCTGAGTCCACAGAACAGACAGAATAATCAAAATTATTGTTATAAACCACTTTGAATTTTTTTTACTGAGAAGCAGTGTAGAATGCTGTAAATAAAATGATTTGCTTCGATAAACAGAAGAGAGAAAAGGGCAAGACCTCTGAGAAAGCAGCTGAATCCAAGAACTGGAGGTCATGGAAGGATAGGGAGGAGGTCTAGAAGAGAGTCATATAGCATAACAGTTCTTCGTGAACATTTCATCAAAATAGCGCCAGCAGCGGTGTGTGAAGCAATCTGCCCACCGCCAAAGATCAAAGGTACAGAAGGAGAGAAGAAAAACAGCATGATTAGACAGATGATTCACATCAGTGTGGAATCACAAAAGAGTACACTAATCCTTAGAGGTTCTGGCTTTGATCCCAAATATCTGCAGTTAAAAGGAACCACATGACACATCATGTGGAAAACTGGAAAATTTCACAGTGAGCGCCGCCAGGCCCCTCTCCACTGGGGTGCTAGGCAGCAACTGAGACTTCTGGCAGTAACTTCCTGGGCTCCAGATTTGAGAGTGAGCAGGGACAGATTTTATAGCAACCGAGGAGCCAACAGAAAGAGGAATACAGTACTGTCAATTATTCCCTTCCTGGCACTAAACCCCCAGGGAGCATCCTTTTCAAGAGGGCCCCCTCTCACAGGGTGTCATGAGAGTTGTGGTCTCTGAAAGTAGGAAGGGAAGATGAGTGCCTGCCCTCTGCCTCCGTAGACCTGGCAAGGTCTCTTGGAGCCTTGGGATGATGGGGAGACTAAAAATCAAAGATCACTGCCAGAACTTTTACAGCCCCTCCCATCCCTAGACTCTCAAAGGTTTCCTCATAGCAAAAGGAAGCCCTGTGGCACCTCAAAACCTGAAACAAAGGATAGGAAGCTTTTAATTAGCCTACATTAAATGTTACCAGTGCCAGCTGATGAAGTCATCGGCTTCCATTGCATAATTTTACCTGAAGAGGATTTTGCCCGTTGTGTTTTTACTGGGTTTAGGTTTTTTCCCGTTTTTTTTTCCATTTCTCTGAGCGCCTTTCAGTCCCTTATGCCACCCCTTAGGTGGCATCAGATTAAAAGGAGGTAAATTAAATAAATAAATAAATAAATAAAAATACTGGACCTAAGAGACTACTGGTTTGGTTGGATATAAGATAGATTCCTGTGAATAGTTTTCAAAAAGAAGGCTTCTATTCAACAGTAAAGAAATAAATAAAACTTAAATGGTAAGTCAAAGGGGTGGATCAAGCATTATCCCAATGATAGTTCCACGATTGCATGTACTTGTCAGGTTTCAATAAACAGGAGTAAAAAGCTGGGGAAGCTGGGCAACAGAAATACAGAAAATCGTTTTTTGGTACCTAAATTGTATTGTACCAAATTAGTCTGTAAAATGAATTAAAGAAGAACATTTATTTTGTTATTTTGTTTTGTACAGATTTGGCTGACAGCTATGTACCAGGGACTAAAAGCAGCTACATTTTTCTGGCCTGGTTCAGATGTTGATGTTAATGGAACTTTTCCAAATATTTACCGATTATACAATAGGTAAGCGTCTGAAAAATTACTAAACAGCAATGGGTACAAATGAACTAGCATTGCTTGCTGTGCGTATCCCTACCCACTTTCAGCATTTTAAAACTTTTCAATAGTTTGAAACACAGCTTCAGGGCGATATTACCGACCCTCGGGCTATACTTTACCCATAGTTGAGATAATACCCAGTCATAAATCTTCTGTGCTTTTAAGTCTAATTTTTTATATATGTAATTTAGATCAGTACAATTTGAAGAAAGAATAGTAACTTTTCTCAGTTGGCTACAGCTACCAGAAGACAAAAGGTGAGTATGACATCTCAGAGTTGTTTTGAATAGCTAATTTCTAGGGATTGAGAGGGATGTGTTGCCATTCCTGCAAGCGCTTTGGGCTGCACTCCCTGCTGTTACTAGGCTTGTTGCAGTGTAATCCCTCCTGCACCTTGTGTACAAGTAGAAAAATATATACAGTGGTGCCTCGCTTAACGGGTGCTCTGTTTAGCGACAAAACCGCATAGTGATGAAGATTTTGCGATCACTTTTGCGATCACTTTGTGGTGTTTCCTATGGGGTTTTTTCGGTTTGCGATGATCGGTTCCCTGTTTTGCTTGTCGATCATCGCAAAGCGATGATTTTTTTAACAGCTGATCAGCGGTTCCAAAATGGCCACTGGGTAAACAAAATGGCCACCCGCTGTGTTTTCACATGGATTCCTTGCTTAAGAGGCAGCGAAAATGGCCGCCGTATGGAGGATCTTCGCTTTAAGGTTAGTTTTAAGCCTATAGGAATGCATTAAACAGGTTTTAATGCGTTTCTATGGGCTTTTTAAAATCGCGTAGCGACAAAATCGCTTAGCAGCGATTTTTGCTGCACAGATTAATGTAGCTATGCGAGGCACCACTGTACATCCGTGTGAATCTGTTAGTAAAGCAAGTATGCAGGAAACATCCATCTTGTCTTAAAAGAAGTGAGGCATTTTTGCGCCTGCCATCTCCACAACAGCAAATTCAGCAGTAGCGCAGGCTGTGGGAGAGTGCTATAACAATGGGTTGCAGTGAACTCATGTGGCCCATAGCCTTTTTTGTTGTCCACCCATAGTTTAGATTATTTGAAATCCAGAAGATGATGAACTACAGTGGTATCTGGCATGGATCCAGACTTGCTGTTCTGTGGATGGAAAGTTATTCATATTTCATCCTGCAGAGATTCCTGAGATTTTCACCAGTTTCTGCTTTCCTCTGCAATCTTTTGTCCTACCTCCAGCATTTTTCAGTATTTCCTTTCATCTTCCAGAGTTAAATAGTAAATATGTGGTTGTAGATGCAAGGCAGGTATTATTACATTTGCTTGCCTCCCCTTCTCAAGCAAGAGCTTCACCCCTCCCATTCTAGCTTGATGAAGAATTCTGGGGGCTCCAAAAGTTTTCATACCATATTGAATTTTAGTCCTAATAAAAGTATTGCCTGTTTGTGGATTTTGTTTGTTCCTATGAATCAGAATGGCTGCTATTGTTTCTGTCTTATGTAGGTTGCCACAAGGTACTTTGTTGCTTTTAACAGTTGATTCTGATGAATTACCTTGAATGTAAATATTTTAATAATTCTCTCAATTTATATGTAAAATATTAAAATTTTGGTGCTGTTTGATGTAGACCACACTTTTACACTCTGTATTTAGAAGAACCAGATTCCTCAGGTCACAAATATGGACCAGTCAGCTCTGAAGTAAGTAACTTGATATTTGTTTTCTTTTAAAAATTCAATTCTGTAATGGGCAGGGATAAGAGTGTTTTATTTTTTAAAATGGTTTCGTTGGCAGCCAGTAAGCGCCATCACTAATAGCCTTTTAAGAACAGTTTATGTATGAATAAAGAATGAGTGTACGTTAACCTGAACTTAGAAGTTCTTTTGTTACACACTGTGAAATTAAGTTGTATGTTTTGATATGTAAAATTCAGAATAATTTTCATATGTAGTCATTAAGTTCAGCTGTAGTGTTGACTAAATCACAGCTTGGAGGTCATGTTGTAAAAGTAATGAATTGCACTTGTTTCAAGGGGTAATTAAAGAACAATTACTTCCTTTATTAATATTTTAATGTAAATGTGGATGTTTTGGCAGAAAGAGTTAATATTTATTTATTTATTTATAGAACAATGAGAAAAGTTAACACTAACACATTTAAATGTTTAGAAAAATAATGACTAATGACAATGCCATTTTAGTAAAGCTGCTTTGAGTCATGTTTCAGAGCTCCTGGATAGTCTTCTAGAACTAGTTCACTACCCCATGAGTGGTTGGCAATCAGTAGTGTGGTTGCACACCTTGGGGTCAAGTGGAAATGAGTCACATTCCTGAGGAAAAAGCTATTTCATATGAGTACTTCACTGCTTTTAAAAACATTTAAGAGCCATTTGGTGGCCTATGGAACGGATTATCATCGTCATGCGGGACACCACTGTATATAATTTACAACCTGACTTTCTCCCATCAGAGGGACATAGGATAGCTTACAAAGAATTTTAAAACACAAGTATTAAAACAATTAACAATTAAAACAATTAAAAATATATAAAAATGCAATATTAAACAACAGTTAAATATATTAGTCATTTAAAGGTACAAAATAAAATCTCTTTAAAAATACATTTAAAAGATTTTAAAAAGACGGTGACCCCATTAAAAGCCCTTCTTTATTAGTAATTCAGTTACTAAAAAGAAAGGTCTTTGTTTGTTGGCAGAAGGATAACAGAGAGGAGGCCAACCTGCTGAAGGGAGTTCCGCAGACGTATGAGATGCTCATATGTGAACATATGGTTCCTTAGATAGCCTGGAACTGAGTTAGGTAGGGTTTTATAAATCAAAAACAGCACATTGAACTGAGACCAGAAAAGGACCAGAATCCAGTGTAACTGTTGTAGTAAAATATTTATACTTGTCCTGTTAGCTAGCTCCAGCAGGATGTCTAGCTGCAGCTTACTGGATCCACTGAAATTGCTCAACACTTTCCAAAGGTAGCCCCACATAGGGTGTTGATGAAAGTCAACTCTCAACAGAAAAGGGGACAAGACAATCTGTGACAATTCTCCCCCACCCCGCAAAGCATCTTGTCCTACCTCACCTGCTGTTTTGAAGATTCCCAACCTTCTTGAGCCCTCCTTCCCATTCTATCATGAGATGATTTCCAGCAGCATAGGGATAGCACTTGGATATCACCCATAAGCATTTATATTAAGTTGTCTATTTTGCCTCTTCTCATTTTTGTTCTCCAGGTTATTCTTGCACTGCAGGGTGTAGATAAGATGGTTGGGTTGCTGATGGATGGTCTTAAACAAATGAACCTGCACAATTGTATTAATATTATTCTCCTTGCTGATCATGGTAAGATCATTTGAGTTGTGTAAATATTTGGTGAGAGGAAAATATTTTTCTATTTTTTTTTTAATGGGCAAGGATTCTTGAACTACTTGATAGCTCAGTGGTTTAGGTATCTAGCTGCAAAGCCAGAGGTTAGGAGTTTGATTCCTCTTTTGTAGAATGTTACTTCCATGTAAATATGCCCTATAAGCAAATAGGTTTGAGCCTCACCTTATAACTTGGACTGTCAGTATTTGTCATACTGATCAGAAACTCAGGTAGATCCTAACTGCATGCTTGGAAGTAAGTCCAAGCATTAATGAGTTTAGGATCAAAGTCGAGAGAGACAGAAATGGCAACATTAATTTGTAATAGTTATTTAAACATCAAAGTCTGTATATACTACTTTAATGTTGTTTTTTGCTGGACATTAACTATACCCAGTGCACTATTCTAATGATTATATGGGTACCTGTCTCCATATTTTTCTCCGTTATGTAGCTACTGTTTTCTTAAAATGAAATTCTTTTGTTTCCTTGAAGGGATGGAGGCAGCTAGCTGCAGCAAAGCAGCTTATCTCAACAAATACTTGGATAGTGTTCAAAATTTGTTTGTGGTACCTGGCCCAGCAGCTCGCTTAAGACCCCAAAACGTTCCAGATGAGTATTACTCTTGTATGTAGCCACTAGAATAATTTGCTTTACTCTTTTGTATATTTTGTAGCTTCAGTGTTATAGCAAATGAAACAACTGCTAGTATTTTATTACTATAGCAAGGTAGCTATGTCAACCAGATAATGCTGGTCTTCCTCCCTTATGAAGGAAGAAATGACAAGATAAAAGCTGAGTGATGAAATGGCAGCACTAAGTAGCTGTAGCACATATGATTTAAAGATTTACTTCGGGAATGGACAACCTCTGGTTCCCCAGATGTTGTTAGATTACCAACTCCCATTGATCTGTAACCATTAGTTGTGCTGTTTTGGGATGATGGGAGTTGCCATCCAACATTTAAAGGGTCACAGGTGGTCTGTCCTGATACTCATGATCTTGGCTCTGTGTCTTCTGGTCATTCAGAAAAGAAAAGAAAACCTCAACATTTAAATGATAATGCCTTGCCTGTGGTCTTCCGTGGCACAGACCCTTCTAATGTTTGATTGTTACTCAGCAATTGCCAGTGTCCCAGATCACGAGTCAGATCTGGGACAATGTAACTGACAGTGATCATGCTGGTAGTGGGATTCTGAAAGTTGCAGTTAAAAACAACAACAATGCAACATATGAGTGATCATTGGGTTGGTCTGTTTTAATCAGGGATGGAGATCTTTAGCCCTCCCAGTGCTTTGGACAATAGTCTTCACAATCTCTTAGTACTAGATATACTGGCCATGACAACTGAGCCTTTATGTTCCTTAGCCCACTCCCGTGGCAAAACTGGCATACGTGCTCAGGAGCAAAGGCAAGACAGTCAACCCGACATTTGCTGCTGATATGCAAAGATGGATGGAGGATTTGCAAAGCAGGAACAATAGACAAAGACAAGTGCTTAAACCATTTTCACTTGCTGCTTTTTGCCTGCAGATTCTCTACTTCAGCACACCCTTTTTTTTTTACAGTTAACACTCAAAAAGGTTTTGGAAGACCTGACTGAGAGAGGTGCAATAGGGGGAGGAATAGCTGAAGGAAAGTGGTGTGTGGGAAGAATACTCTGTACTTCTTCACACACTCTGAATGCTTTCCCCCAGCATTTTGCATTTTAGCAATCACATGTTGGTTTGAGAATTCTGTGTCTGCCACCAAATACACAGCTCTGATCAAAACGAATTGGAACTCACTTTCCTTCATCCAAAGCACTATTGGCTTATGTCCAGGTGGAATGGAGCCCACCACATATTTGGCTCTTCACTTTTCCAAGATTAACAGCTGAAAAAGGCCTTATTCACTGGCTGAAATCTAGGATGTTAGTACGTTTCAGTTCATTCCTCACGGGTAAATAAAGAGGCCCTACTGCAATTCAAAGAGGTGCCCACACACACTGGCTTGGTGCCTGTGCACGTGCTTCTGAAAATTGCAGATAGAGCTCCACGTACCAAGGAGAGCAAGGGCAAAATGAATGAATGGACGTAACGAAGGACAGATGAGCCATGCAACAAAATAGTTCAGATTGGAGCTATTGTTTGCAACTGCATGTCTGGAGACCTCCCTCGCAACATTCAGTCCACTGTCCTTTAACAATGTACATTCTCATTCATCATTGGGGTTTTTGAAGGGCAAGTGTCCCTCTTAAATATTTCATTGATTTTCTTCAGAACCTAAGGGTCGCTCAAGGCTTCTAATACCTTCCTTCTGTGTATAAGCAGCAACAATCTGGGTACCTTGGATATTCAGAGCACAGTGATATGATTTTCCTGAATCACAAAACTTTAGAGTTTGTGCTAAGAAATGTGATACTACCTAAATTCTAGATTAAGGCACGTATACTTAATTCAATGTAGACTTCTGAGAAATTGTTCATTTCTGTGGGGAAAAGATTATCTTGGTAATAAAAAACAGCTGGTACGCATGGGTGGGAGCATACTCATTATGATAAATAGATCTTCAGATTTTATCCAGTCATTGTTATGGCTTGGGATGGGAAGAATACATCTCCCAGATAGAATCATGGCCTACATCTGGACATATGTCAGTCACTGCATTCATTTCTATGGTAAAATATAAAGGATGTACATTAAAAAGGAATTTTCAAATAACACCTTGGCACAGATCTTGCATAATTTCTAGACAGGTTTTATTTTCTGCTCATTTGTATTTATTCTATTGATATAACTGCTGTAATGAGCATCTAGAAATCTCTTACTATGCAAGACTGTCGAAAATGGTGCATTGGCAGTCAAGCCAGCTTGGCAGTGGCTGTACTAGGCCAAAGTTTGGAAACTTGCATTTTTGGATCACAAACTACAATGTAACTGATAGTGATCATGCTGGTAGTGGGATTCTGAAAGTTGCAGCTAAAAACAACAAGAACAACAACAAAAGACTTTTCCAAGCTCTATAGATAAAAACAACAAGAACAAGAACAACAACAAAACACTTTTCCAAGCTCTATAGTTGCCTGTTCAGTCCTTCTGCTATGTTTCATGATGAAGAGTTACTTCTGACAAAAGAATCTAATTTACTTTATGATGTAGCCGAATTATTATGCGATAATTAAATCATTATTACTTTATTAGAAAGTTCTTTACTTTCATTTTTCTTTTAACCTTTAGGTAACTAACTGTTTCATCTAACCCTTATAGTTGATTATGAAGGCCTTGTCAGAAACCTTACAGTAAGTATTGTCATCACTACCAACACAATCATGACTCTTGGATAGATTCCTTTTCATTGGGTATGGACTTTGCTAGATTATATGTCAATCTTATACAGTTTTATCCCCTCATATGCACGCATTCCCCTTCTGCGTGGCTGCCCAGGGTGCGTCCCACATGACTGACACTGGTACTCACAAAAGACTTAGCTGTCTGTTGGAAAAAATGGGATCGCTTTTCTAAAATCATGAGATCAGATCACGTCACATGGAATGGCCTCAGTGATTATGATGATTGTGAGGGCAGAGGCAGGAAGGGGATCAGTGATATAAGTGCTCTGAAAGATCTTATTCTCCAGTTAACCCAAAAGCCTCTATAGGGGGACACTTACAAGTTGTGAGCACAATGTGTAGCGTTCAGTGGGGTCCACCTGCCAGTGGAACTGATGCTGATGGTGGAATTGATTTGCCTTGCATTTCCCATCATGCTGCCCCAGATAAGAACTGGAGAATTTGGGGACTCTAGAGAGCAGATTTTGGGGGCACACAGTGGGATATATAGGGTGGAGGAGAGGAAGAGGAAGGTTCTCTGAAAAGTCAGTTCAAATGTTAGATGTAGGCCTGCTGTAGGAATAAACATGAATCTTAATTTCACCATTTCAGTGCGTAGTCCCAGATCAGCATTTCAAGGCTTACATGAAGCACTTGCTTCCCAAGCGATTTCACTATGCCAAGAATGACCGGATTGAACCAGTACATTTTTATATGGACCAGCAGTGGCAGTTTGCTCGGTAAGCTGCTTCTTTTTATCTCCCTGGCTAAAAGAGGTTGGCTTTGTGCCATCTACCCACACATGAATATGTTGTTGCATTTGTGTCCTGTAGGTCTGTGGTCCCCAACCTTTGTCCTCCAAATGTTCTTAGACTTCAACTCCCAGAAATCCTGGCCAGCAGAGGTGGTGATGAAGGCTTCTGGGAGCTGTAGTCCAAGAACATCTGGAGGCCCAAGGTTGAGGATCACTGCTGTAGGTCAAAGGGGGTTTCTTCTTTTGTTTCTGAGATTATCAATTTACTTCTGTTAAAGTGACCAAATGATATCTGCTGTAATCTTCGCTTCTGTGATCATTCAAAATGAATAGTTTTCATTTCCGTGTACCTCTTGGCCTGGATTTTGTAAGTGAATTTTGATAGAGAGGAGAAATTTAAAAGAAGGATAAGGAATTAGTGTTGCATGTGTAATAATAATTACATTCAGTTCTGACTTAGGGCAACCTTTCCGGGGTTTTCTAGGTGTAGGGTACTCTGAAGCAGTTTACTATTTCCTTCTTGTGGAGCTGCTCTAGGGCTGTGAAGCTTGCTCAGGACTGCACAGTGGGAACTCAGATTGCCAACCAGATACCTAACTCATTGAGCTCTCCAGCCAGCTGTTGGGGAAAAATGGCCAAAAGATTGAAAAAAGGCATCTCATGTTCTGCGAAGTGGAAGAACTGAATGAATTTGGCAGAGGTGCTTTGTATAGCTGTGAGAGATCCTTAATGAGAAAGAAGACCAGAAAAGAGTTTGCATTTACCAAGTTTTTTTTTTAAATTCATTCTAATGGGTGTAGTTATATATTCATGTTTCTATTTTGCAGGATGCCTTCTGAACTTAAATATTGCACTGGTGGATTCCATGGGTCAGACAATGTATTTGCAAATATGCAGGTAAGTAGGCCCACCCCTCTGCCTCTCCAGTGTTTTGAGTATTTTAAAGAAGGTGGTGTGGCCAGACATATCCTTCCATTTTCAGGCTTCCATCTTTCTCAGTCAATCCAGTTTAGCCTTGATGAGTACCATCATGCTTTTGCTAATCTACTGGGCTTGTTTCCTGCCTATATGTGCTTATTCTTTGAGCTCCTAGAATATGTGCATTAGTTTGCTTCATTTTGTGATTGGTTGTCAGAACATAAGCACAAATTCCTTTGAAGTCTGATTCCTCAAACCTGGGAGACTGCCTAAGTCATGTCTTTCCAATGCTAACATGCTTTAATTTCTAATTATGGACTATCTATAATGTCTGTTTCTTCTTTTAGAGCATCACATTATGTCTGCTCAGCTTCCCACTCATTGAGCTTCACTTTCCTGATTTTCTGGAAGCTGGCAAAGAATAATTTTTAGGAAGGCTTTATGTATATGTATGCTTATGTATTTATGTATGCTTCCATCTTCATATGTTTTTTATATTACACTATGAACTGAAAGGATCTTTTTAATGGCTAAACTATTGACTTTCCTTTAAGTTGCCTGCAAGACAGGGAATAAAAGTTGCAAGATATATAAATAAATAAAAAATCCTGGGAGGCTCTGATCACTAATCTACCTAGAACATAGTTTTGTTCTTTTGTTAATGTACCACTTCAGACTACAGATGAAGAACTGCATGTTTGAAGAATGCCATTTCTAGGCAAATTAGTGCCTTCAGCTAGAAAACTAGAATAACAAGGGCAAAATCAGGCTAGGTAAAGACTTTTGATGCTGATATCCTGAAGACACACATCTTGAAATAATCCTAGAGAAACACATGTTATAGATAACCCATAATTTCAGATTGCCCTTTCCCTTTCTTGATGATGCTCATGTTCTGTTCCGTAACTTGCATGTGCTCATTTTAATAATCTGAAGACAAGGCTATTTGCTTTCCACTGAATTTGAATGCCTCAGGTTTTGTGAGCTTGCAACTGAGATTGCCAGGTGCAGGACCATGGAGTGACACCCTAGGCAATTGTTATGCCTTCCCAGGTATCAAGGTGGGAAGATAAATTCTAGGGTGACTGGCACTGGAAAAGGAGAAAGTTTGATGTCTATGTTTAAAGCTCGCAAAAAGAATGGATTAGCAATTTCTTGGTTATTTAATCCTTGATGGGTTGACAAATTACCTGGTTTTCAAGATGCCACTTGCACTTGTTTTCATAATCAGCAGGAGGACTAGCAGGCATCCATCCCAAACCTGGCCTGCCCCTTCTCTACGACATCACAAGGACTCATCCCTATTATATCACAAGAGCCTTTTTGTCTCAAGTTTTCCCAGATGGCAAAGCAGCCCCAGAGGGTTAAGATGAGATTGTCTAACTCGACATTTATTATTTTGCATATCCATGGAGCATACAGGTTGGTTGCTCCAGATGCTTGGACCTACAATTTCCATTGGCCTAACCCACCAGGACCAATTGTAAGGGACTGTGATAGTCTAAAATGTCTGGGTGGTCCATCCTCATACCTGATGTGAGCCAGATATTTATGTTACTGATTATTTATTTATTTTTATTTATTTGATTTATATCCCACCCATCTGGCCTGTAAGACCACTCTAGGCGGCTGATTATAATTTGATCACTGAATAATCTCTAGCTGCTCATGCTGGACTGCCTCCAACCAATTAAGAAGCTCCCTTCTCAGCCTTGCCAGCAAAGCAGAGAAACTTTCTTTCTTTTTCTCTCCCTTGCCAACAGATGTCCTGAACTTAGCTTTAAAGCCTTCTGGGGTATATCCATACCTCTGCTTGACAAGGTCCATAGATTTGTCCCAAGTAATGTCCACATCCAACTCCGCCACAAAATGGAACACTTAGATCATGCCATACAAGGTTGCAGCATTGCGTACTACATTCTTACGTCAATTGGAACGAGTAACCTCCATTGTATATAATCTGTATAAACTGCAATGTAAAGCACAGCCTTGAGTTTATAAGAGCTGAGTAGGGCTATTGATGACTAGATATTTTGGAGATTGTTCATTCATGAGGTTGCCATAAATGGAAGGCAACTTGATGGCATGTAACAACAACATAAATTGCAATAGAATTTGAAAGCATGATCATTGGGAAAAGGAAGTCATTAAATATCTTTAGTACAGGAAGCATGTCTGCTGTTACTGAGAAGCATGTTGTGCACATCTGCCTTATAGCAGAAAATTAGCAGCAGCTGCAAACATCAACCCATAAACAAACTCATAAATGTTCAGAAAGAAACCTGTTACCATAGGAGATGACAGAGTTCTATGTCTGGAATGAGGCAGCCTGTTTCTATGCTCTGTTTTTAACCAACTTTACATAGTTTGAATGCTTATAAAGAAACAGAAGACTGTACTATCTAAGCCACATATGTCCTAACATTTTCACCGGAATTTGCATGATATGATGTGTTTTCAGATTATTCAAAGAAACTAAAAGTACCTCAGATTTTCAAGTGTACAATAGCCTAAGTCTCATGCCAGGTACTTTAAACTAGAGAGCTATACTTCTATTCTGGATTTCCTCGATGCCATTAATTTAGGTAAACATGCAAGACTGGAGATACCTCCCTTCAAAGCCATTGTGGCTGCAGCCAGCAACATAGATTAAGTTGTTTACATCTACTGGAGACATGTTTTAAAGCAGATGTGAATCAAATGCACAACTTGCTAAATGCTCCGTTTTCCACAAGCTATGATCGTGTTGAGTCCCAAAACTGCTTCTTTTACAAAATCTGAGTAATTTTAAATAAGTTTTGACTGCAGTTGAAATGAGAAAGTATTCAACAACAAACAAAATGAATATTCCAGGTTAAAGTACAGTTTTTTCTTTTGTTTCAGGCTCTGTTTATTGGATTTGGACCTGATTTCAAGTTTCAAACTGAGGTCGAGCCCTTTGAAAACATTGAAATCTACAATCTAATGTGTGGTATGATTAAGCAGCTCTCTCCGTCCTCCCCCACCCCCTAAGCTTAAAAGGCTTTTTGAAAAAATGTTTCTGGAGCTTTACTGCTGTGGCTACATTTTTTATTTTGAGAAACTGCAGTGGTGCCTCGCTTAACGACGATAATCCGTTCCAGGAAAATTGTTGTTAAGCAAAAACACCGTAAAGCGAAAATAAAACCCCATTGAAATGCATTGAAACCCGTTCAGTGCGTTCCAATGGGGTAAAAACTCACAGTCCAGTGAAGATCCTCCATACGGCCATTTTCGCTGCCTGCATAGTGAGGAATCCATCCCTAAACACAACAGGGAGCCATTTTAATCACCCGATGGCCATTTTGAAACCGCCGATTGGCTGTTCAAAAAAGGTCGTTTTGCGAAGAATCGGTTCCCGAAACAGGGAACTGATCATCGCAAAGCGAAATTCTCCCATTCAGACCATTGTTTTGCGATCGCAAAAAGATTGTCATTAAGCGGATTCGTCGTATTGCGGGGCAATCGTAAAGCGAGGCACCACTGTATATCTTATGTCCAGCCTATGCAAGTGTCATTTTCCATTCCTAACAGATTGAAATTCAAATTTGTTCCTGGCCATAGGATAGGTCTGCAGAATCTTTGAATAGGATCCCTTTTAGTTCAACCTTTATGCAATGGTTTAATATTTTTCAGCCTGTATAAATACCCAGTTCCAGGGAAATTTTGTTGCTTGAATGAGCAATCGTTGCTTGTGCAATGGCAGGCTGGGAGAATGAATGGCAACATACTGCCAATGTTTGACAGTATGTGTCTCCATTGATACTGTTGATCTGTGAGGGCACTGAAAGAAAACATCTTATAATGGCTGGCTATTCTTGCAAGCTAACTGACAGCTGGGGTTAGGCTGTCATGTGCATTCTAGAAGACAAGAGATTTCAGCCTGCCTCTGGTATAAATTAGAAGACAACGTCTCTTGTGCAGTGAAGACTGTGATAGAGTTAAAGATGGGGTGAACAATAATTGACAGACCCCAGAACCAATTTTCTGCTGTTTGGACTCTTCCAGGGCTACACAGATCATTGGAAATCCCCCCCCCCAATAACACACATGGAAATGGCCAGAATTCACTTTCAGTTTTGAAAACCTAGATATTAAACACTGCAGGTGAAACTGCAATCACTTTAAAAGGTGAATGATTATTCCTGGACATTTCTGGTAGTGGCAATTCACCTCCCCCCCCTAGAAAAAAGGGCTTTAGGAGGTGCTAAAGGTCACACAAACAGCCTTGAGAAGCCACATGTGGCCCCAGATCTCTACTTTGTCCTCTCGTTGCTTAGAGGTTTTATCTAAACTCTGGAATCCACTCCATTAGGAGGCTTGATTAGCCCTTTTCTTATTTCAGATATATTGTAAAGCCTGGTTGTTTTGATGGATTCTGTCTCTTAATAATGGCTCCTCTTACTACTATATTTATAGTTATGTTAATATATTTCAGTGATTGCTGTTTGCATTATGTATTACTATGATTTTGATTGCTGGTTGCTTTTGCCTGGTATCTGGGTAAAAATCAGAATTAAATTGATACAAGGTAAATAAATAAGCATAGCAGTTCTGAAGAGATGTCACATGCATGTTCGTAAGTGGAAAAGTACATTTGACTGTTGCATTTTGAACAATTGTAGATCTACTTGACTTGACACCAGCACCCAACAATGGAACTCATGGAAGCCTCAATCACCTTCTAAAGAAACCCACTTATATTCCAAAGCATCCCAAAGAAGAAAGCAGTCCCTCTTCGTGCCCTTTCACAGGGTGGAGAACCTCTGCAGACAGTCCCCGTTGCTCATGTAGTTCTTTGGTACGTATTCAGAGGAAATAAATGATTTTGCAAAACTTACCATGGATTCTCGGGGCCTTTTGCCTTGGCATTTACTTATTTATTTTAACTTGTTTGCAACCTTTTATCCAAATTAAGGGATCCAAGGTAGTTCACAAGTTATTAAAAAGAAATCAGCTAAAATTCCAATAAATTACAACACAATTACAGTTAACCAAGTAACAGTATTAAAACAGTTATTTAAAACCCTTTAAAAACAATTAAAAGACATATAAAGTAAAAATAGTGTCCAGCACACAAGATCAATAACTGTTCAGTTTATTAAAAGCTTATCTAAACAAGATAATCTTTACCTGTCATCAGAAGGACAACAGGAAGGGGGCAACCCTAGCTTTCCAAAGGAGGACATTCCTTAACCTCGGAGCAGCCACAGAAGAGGTTCCCAGAAGATGTGCCTGAGAAAGCAGTGAAGGGAGATACGGTCCTTCATATAGCCTGGACCCAGACTGTATGGGCCAGGTCATAACCTTTGAATTGGGCCTGGAAACAGACCAGCTGCCCGTGAGGCTTTTGTAACAGGGAAGTTGTATGCCATGCTATTTCAGCTATTTGGACCTTGGAAAAATCCTTCTTCCCCTCGCGCCCGATTTGGCAGGAAGACTCTCAGTCTTTTCCAAATAAGGTTTTATTTATCTCAAAGCAAAATTATATGTGAAAGTACTCCGTATATTAAAGAATCACTCTGTACTTTGTACAGTTTTAATTTAGTGATAAATTGGAGCTCTGCTGCAAATGTTCAGATGAAACCAGTAGAGCTGAAAAATTTCAAATGAAGAAAATGGATTTATTTTTTCTTTTTTTCTTTTTAGTAATTTATACTTTTTATTCCAAATTACAATACATGAAAGGATTTGTCCTCACTTTCTGTATTCCCTTACACCTAGGGCTTGCCGCGAATTCGACCGCTGATGAATCTCACAATTTCAGAAAGTAAGGACTATAAAACAATTTTCAGAAAAATGTAATTTAAGCATAGGATTTATTTGAAAAATGTATTCTGTGGAAGTTGTTAATTTGTCTTTTCCTTGCTTTAGTGAAGAAATTAGAAAAACACAGTTTACCATTTGGGAGACCTAGAGTACTCCAAAAGAAGCAAAATTACTGCCTTCTTCATAACCACCATTACATCAGTGGATTTAGCCAGAACATCAAGATGCCTCTGTGGAGTTCCTATACTATCACAAAGCAGGTAGGTATGTTGGTGATTGAGGGCACAATGTATACTTAGAAAAAGAAACAAATGGCAGGAGATGCAAAAATAGCTTACACTGTTGTTGTTTAGTCGTTGTGTCTGACTCATTGTGACCCCGTGGACCAGAGCATGCCAGGCCCTCCTGTCTTCCACTGCCTCTCAGAGTTGTATCAAATCCATTTTGGTAGCTTTGATGACACTGTCTAACCATCTCGTCCTCTGTCATCCCCTTCTCCTCTTGCCTTCACACTTTCCCAACATTTCTCTTCTCATGAGATGGGCAAAGTATTGGAGCCTCAGCTTCAGGATCTGTCCTTCCAGTGAGCACTCAGGGTTGATTTCCTTCAGAATGGATAGGTTTGATCTCCTTGCAGTCCAGGGGACTCTCAAGAGTCTCTTTCAGTGCCACAATTCAAACACATTAATTCTTCAGTGTCAGCCTTCTTTATGGTCCAGTTCTCACTTCCATACATTGCTACTGGAAAAACCATAGCTTTGACTATGTGGACCTTTGTCGGCAAGATGATGTCTCTGCTTTTTAAGATGCCTTCTAGGTTTGTCATCACTTTCCTCCCAAGAGGCAGGTCTCTTTTGATTTTGTGGCTGCTGCCACCATCTGCAGTAATCATGGAGCCCAAGAAGGTAAAATCTGTCACTGCCCCCATATCTTCACTTTCTATTTGCCAGGAGGTGATGGGACCAGTGGCCATGATCTTAG